ACTGAATAAAAATATCGAGACAGTTAACTAGCCTAATGATAACCGCCATCTAGTTGTTAACTTTAAAATGACAACGCCAGAAAGATTGTATTTTCCATATACTTCATAACCACACATTTCATCGATTTTATATCAAAAGAAAAGTTTGTGCATTTATATAAAAAAACCTTGTGTTACACATCTAATCATAAAATGTTAAACTTCAGAAATTATTTGCAGTTATACAGCCCGATTCTGTGCACTGGATAAATTGAAAATCTTTATAATTTGTAAATTTTTTATTATTTATCAAGAATTGGTATTTTAGCACAGAAATCAAAAGCTCTTTTCTTGATAAATTATCAAGATTGAAAATGCTATTGACAAATTGAAATTTCATGTTAAATGTATAAATTTTGTATATTAATAAATTTGTTTCTAACAATTAAATACTCCATGTGCCGGCATTTGAATCTGAGGCACATGGAATTATAGTCGATATCTTTACCTACTCGGCTACGGCAGTCAAAAGCTTTTTTGCTTTTAAATTCATATTTTTCATATGTGACAATGAAATCAGTTCCACTCATGTGGAAATCAGTTCCACTCATGTGGAAATCGCAGAGCTTTTTGTTTTATAAATATTGACACGGAATGCGAAGAGAGCTTTTACTTGATAAAAATCTTGATAAAAGCTCTGATCCAATACCTTTCGTGAAAAATCCTGTAAAACTGTCAAACAGCAAAATTACTCTCTGAAGTGAGAGTAAAAAGTGAGTAACAACAAAAAATACGGGAACAAAAAAACCATTTTTCCTGTAAAAACGTCAACCAGTGATTGCTTGACACTTTTCATGATTTTACCAGAAGAAAGTTCGGGTAAAATCTTGCAACTTCATTCTCTACACAACTCTCCAAACGTTGCTCTCATTTACAGGATTTTGGAGTACGGAAACATTTTTCCTGCAACTTCCTGCAAGTTCGTGTAAAATCCTGTAAGTTCAGAGCTAAAATTTCTTTACAAAAAAACTTTTCAAGAAAACACAGAATTGGGCGGATAGTTTTAAATTTTACAAAAATTGGTCTCAGTATAACAATTGATGTGAATTTTCAAACTAGAAATCCGCAATTTATATGTAACCGTCATAGAAAAATTGTCAATTTCTGCCTTTCTTAATAATAGCAAAAAAAATATCGGTGAATCGTTCGTAGAAGTCCAAATTGTTTTTTTGTGACAAATTTTAGAGCACATTTTTTTCGAAAACATAGTGTTTTCGTTAAACCATTCAAAACACGGTTAAATTAATGGTGAATTCGACTTTGACTTCGAATAGCTTTACAGTGCAACATATCGTTCGTTAAATATAAAAATGAGAAGCAAAAAATAAAACAAGTAAGAAAGTCTAAGTTCGGGTGGAGCCGAACATTAAATACCCGGCGCAAGTATTAAATATATGTTTTTTCACCTTTCCGAAAGCTACCGCTAGATGGTAAGCCGGGGTGTATCAATTTTGAGTAAGTTAGCGTCCTTAAATTTCGAAATATTGCAGTTTCAAGCATTTCTGAAATATACCGTTATATGAAAAGCGGCCGTAATTTTAGTCCGATTTCAATAATTTTCAACGTGTTGCTTTTATGTGGCAAGCACAATAAAAATACCGAGTTTGGTACAAATTGGTAGAACGGTTACCGATATACATATATGTATGTATGTGATCATAAAAGGGCGGTGCCACGCCCATTTTCCAAAATTTTACCATAAACGTATTTCTTGGTAAAGAATTATTGCAAGCATCAATTTTGAATAAATTAGCTTTAATATTTACTGATTTATCGAAGATTTTGTATTTCTCTAAATTACCGTTATATGGGATGTGGGCGTGGTTATTGTCCGATTTTTTAAATTTTCGGCCATTTAGTATGCTGTACCAAGGCCAACAACAGTGCCAAGTTTGGAAAAAATTGGTGCAGCGGTTACCAAGGTATACACATGTAACCATAAGTGGGCGTGGCTACGCCCATTTTCCAAAAATTTATAATATTCTTATTTTTTGTCTAAAAATTGTTGTAAATATCAATTTTGAGTGAATAATCTTCAGTAGTTACTAAAATATCGCAGTTTTCGTATTTCCGAAAATTACCGTTATATGGGATGTGGGCGTGGTTATTGTCCGATATAAAAAATTTTCAGCCATTTGGTATGCTGTACCAAGGCCAACAACTGTGCCAAGTGTGGAAGAAATTGGTGTAGCGGTTACCAAAATGTACACATGTAACCATAAGTGGGCGTGGCTACGCCCATTTCCCAAAAATTTATAATATTCTTATTTTACGTCTGAAAATTATTGTAAATATCAATTTTGAGTGAATAATCTTCAGTAGTTACTAAAATATCGCAGTTTTCATATTTCTGAAAATTACCGTTATATGGGAGATAGGCGTGGTTATTGTCCGATTTTTCCCATTTTCAATACCATCCGTCCTACGCCCGAAAGAAGTGCACGTACCAAGTTTCGTTAAGATATCTCGATTTTTACTCGAGTTATCGTGTGCACAGACGGACGGACAGACGGACGGACAGACAGACAGTCACCGCTTAATCGATTTCTCTTTTCATCCTGATCATTTATGTAAACATTTGTCTATATCTATCTCGATTCGTTTTGGCTGTTACAAACAACCGTTATGTGAACAAAGTTATAATACCCTTGTGCACAAGTGCGCTCGGGTATACAAATTTTTCCTGTTATTCTTATGTATGTATATGAAATCGAAAAGAGCGATGCGGACATTCTTAATATCAATATTAAGGGCTCATATTTTTTGAGACTTATTTTGGCGTCTAAACGAAACTTTGATCATGGTTCTGAAGAATTTTTTTTCTGAATCACCCTAATATTTATACTTTATTACACGTACCATGCTTATTTATCTAGCACGTACTGGCGTTATGAGGCATTCGTTAGTGCCTACAGTTATATATATGAATATTAAACTGCAAATTTGAAGCGCTGATATAGCGGCGCACCTCGTCTGCCCCGAAGCGAGGTCTCCAAAAATGAACCGATATATGTATGTACATATGTACATTGGCTCTATTGTTTTTGGTTTTTGAAACATTTAAATGTAATTTGTCACGTTAAATTTAAATTATGGCTCATTCCACGGTAATCAATACCGGATGAAACGAAAATAAACCTAAGAATTTGACTGTATTATTTCTAGTAAGTAAGAGTAAATAAATCTAACTTTCAAAACTAAAAGCCAAAATTCCGAAATTTATGTCAAAATCAGATATTTTTTTACTTTAGGTTGTACCATTTACAAACCCATATGAGAGGTTAATTTTTTTCAAAATTTACAAGGCTGATTTTCGTAGTATATTATTATTTTTTTTTGCATTGATTAAGCCGTCAGTGGAGAGAACAATTCGTTAGCATTGTAACGTAATTTTCAATTTGTTCGGGCAAGTATTAAATATTTTATTATATATTGAAGCAAAGCATATTTTAAAGTCACGCCCGTCACAAAATACACAAAATAGTTTTTTTTTTTTGAAGGAAAACACATCTTGGACAGTGTAAAAAAGCTGACGAAAGTAACGCTAACACAGGGGAATATGTGCGAATTACTTTTAAGTATTTATATGCTTTTATTTTCGAAAAAAGAATCGATTATCTTGGTCACGCCCGTCACAAGTCACACCCGTCACA